GTGAAACACGGAAATTGTGCGCGAGATTCGCGGCTTGGTGAAATCAGTGAAATGTGTTGACGTACTAAGTATCTCATTTTGAACCACTTCATGAAAAGGGTATAATAGGCTACATTTCAAATATCTAGATCAGCGTTTCCCAAACTTTTTCGGTCACGGAATACTTTCACTTTTTATCTCGCTTCGTGGAACACCAAAAAATGAAAGGGTAAAATTGATACAGAAAAACGGTGTAATGCAGCGGTTCCCACCCAATGGGTTGGTCTTGGCGAGTTGCCAAATGCGCCGCGAAATAGAATTGTGTTAAACATACCTAAAATAGGATTGGATATTTTATATATTTCATCTATCATAAATGTTTTATTGTTTCTTAATTTGAATGATGTGTATATGAATCAACAAATTCATTTTACTTTTCTACGTCGTTTACTTTCCATTACGTAGTGTTTGCCAGTAATGTAACGTCTAATGGAGATAGCAGTCAGGGGCGCAAACAGGTATTTTCAAGGGAGGGGGAGGGTCTGAAATTTAGGTGCTCCCGGAGTAGATGGCGCACAACCTGAACATAGTATGTGTACCAGGTTACGGTTCAGGTTGTGCGTCATCATGGTGCACATACTTCCGGAGCGCCGAAATTTGCAATTGCCAAGTTTGACTGTAACAGGCGGTCTGGCTGGAGGGCGCAAAACGCGGGTTTCTAAGAGAACTGATGTTCTAAAAATTGCTATGTGTGATACAGAATATCTTTAGAAATCTAAACTGAATACTGTATGTCAGAATTCGCCAGGAACAAGGGCTTCAAATGGAAATTGCCCTATTCAGTCACAGTCACGTCGCTTCTACTTGACGGCATCTGGAGCCATAAAGTTTTGTGCGCTTATTCGGCTCGTGACAAGTCGCACCTATTGGTCGTCGTTTTTTACACATTCCAAAAGGGGGGGGGATTCATTTTCCACGGAACACTCGCGGAAAATAGTTTGAGAAATGCGGGTCTAGATAATAAGTCTTAAGTCTGCAAAAGACATTTGGAAGTAGACGGGACTGGTCATAAGTCATAACCTTTTTAAGGCGGAATACGTTTTCATGAATTACCTAAAGTCGCACAAAGCGAGAGGTAAACGCTAATATCATTCCATATCTTCATCCTAATACTCAACCCTAACTCGTATCTGCCGTTTTGCCATCAGAATACACGGAAAAATATTTTTCTTTCTTGCGCATACCGAAACCAATTTGCTTGATATGTAGGGATGGGCAATATAGAATTCTGAATCCGTAGGATTCGAATCCCAAAGTATTCGAATCCAACAGGATTCGGTTTCCGCCTCTCCGGCGCCATCAATTCATCCAAAATCAATAGGCTTCTGGTCCGAAATATGATGAATACACATGCAAAATTTGGAGCAGATTCAACCTCGCTTTCGTGAGATATCGCCTGCATCTAACAGACAGGCAAATACCTATCAACATACTTACCGATCACGATCGATAAGTAATTACAGTGTTATTGGGTAGTAGTTTACCGGTTCTTAGCGAGTTTCTGGTCCGAGATATGATGAATGCACATGCAAAATTTGGAGCAGATTCAACCTCGCCTTCGTGAGATATCGCGTTCATCTAACAGACAAGCATACAGACAGACAGACAAATACCTATCAACATACTTACTGATCTTAAGATCAATAAGTAATTATGTGTGCCGACTTACTAGCGATATTCCGATAATCTGATTGCAACAATCTTTAAATGTTTATAGATGTGCCTTGCTTCATTTTACATTAAATGATTGTTCGCGACCTGCGAGTTTTCCCCAAAAAATGATGCATGTAAACCAAAATCCAGGCGTTAAATGTTATGACATTACTTGCGATTACTTTAAATCAAATATTATTTACGAATAATTTTATTACACCATTTTCCGAAATACAAAGTTTTATCGCAAAACACGTCAATCTGTCACATTTAAATTTTACTCTCGAAAGACTACATATTATTCGGTCCGTTTCTATCGTTCAGGATAGACGCACGTTTGATCGAGTGTCTGTAGTGTTTTAATCGCCGATAAGTATAAAAAAAAGTTGCCGCATCTGGCGAAGATAGTGACGTATTGCCGTAGATAATGATATGTACCATATCAGAGAAAATGAATTCGTCCTTAGATGTTATTACCTAATACAGTGTTTCCCAACCCGAGTCCGCAACTAGCCAGAAATTCATTGTGACCGCAAACGTTTTTGCGAAACTCAACTATCAGCCTAGTTACGATTTACGTTAGAATTTACATAAAACATAAAAAGCAAGTTTATTCACATAAATAACATTGATCGAGTCAATAATTACTGCTTACTGAGTAGAGCTGGGCATATATTCCAATATCCAACTATTAGAATAGCAATTTACTACTCGAAAACTTGGTAACAGGTGACGCGACAGATTGATTTACTAATATATATACTTTAAATATTCTTTTAAGTACTAAATCAAGTTGTACTTTCTGGAAATTTATAGCAGATAGTAGGATTTTTTCTAACGGCGATAACAAATTTGCAAGATCACATAAAATATGTATCAAAACTAAATATAATAGGATAGGATTTTACATATTTATCCCCGGGGAGAGGAAAACCGATAAGACGGATTAATCATATGGCGAACCACGGCCTCTCGTCCGGTTACTAGTCCAGTCGGGCACTATATATATTTTCACATTATTATGTTCGCTGATTGCCGTGGCATTTTAATTAAAGAAGTAATGCTTCATCTTGTGGTAAGCCGACGCAACCGCGAGTTACCATGAACACAATTAAATTAAAATAGAAAGAAATTTCAAATTCTCATCGTTGTCATGGATTGAATATTGTGCGACAGAATAGGCCATTGTTGAAATTCTTTAAAATTCTGTTGTGTTTGGTTTTATTGCTTCTTCACACAGAGTACGGTTGCAATAAACGCACCTCGAGTCCGCAGAGGTTTTCGCCAGTGAGAAAATAGTCCGCGACCAAAAAAGGTTGGGAAACGCTGGTTTAAAGCGTGTTTCAATTTAGAATATCATTATTTAGTAGGGATGGGCCGGGATTCGGATCCGGACTCGGATTCGAGTCCACGTCATTTTTTACCGAGTCCATAATCAATTCTGTTTTTACTAATTTACGCCTATGTTTGTACTTTTGCCTCTATAAATCCCACCACATACCTTAACTAGTTAAAATTCAAGGTTAGATCTGTAACAATATCTCTCGTGTGCATTATAAACACTCCTAATAAAACGACGACAGATATCCAGATAATATAACGCAAGTTAAAAACTATTGATCGCTTATAACAATGATATTGCGCCAGTCGCCTTCAAACTATCTATCCTTTTTGGTATACATGTGGTACACAATAAAATATGTGTTATTGCAATATTTTTGAGTTTTTGATTCGCGTAAAAATGAAACATGCTCTGAATCAACCCAATGTGGAATCTCATCAATACCTTTTTTAAATCGAGTTTATTGCGTGCAATCCTTTCGCTAAAAAGGCAATGGAAACCATGGAGGGTTTTTGAACGTTTACATGAACTACTAAATTGCAAGCAGATATACCACATTGTATTGACGACGAGTGGCATTTTTCTACCATATGCGCACATGGCATAGTAAATTTACGGCTAGAAATTTCTGTAATTATGTGAAAGCATCGTAGTCGAAAGCTTTTTATTTTTCATGTTGACATGTAAAAATTTCTGAATAGCCGCCCAAAATTGACGCAAGGTGGGCTGGAAATCCAGTTTACAGCCAAGGCGCACATTGCCCCACGTTTACGTTTGTATTATGGCCGCCAATAAAAAGAGGAAAAATATATATTTAAAATAATTCAACAGCTATCTGCGTAACCATTAGGCAAAAAATATGAGCTACGACGAATGTCTGTGAGCGCACGATGCTGTAGCACGGTCAAAAACATGTTTTTCTGCTTTTCCATTACGACTTCACGGACTCGGCAGATTCGATTCGAGTCCTTGACCTATTAGGCTATTACTCGGATTCGTCGAATCTCTGTAATGCCGGACTCGTCCCATCCCTAGTATTTAGAGATTTGGAACAATTGAAGGCAAAAAATATTGTAATATTCTTAGATTTTATTGTCCTGGGAAATGTCTGTTTAGTATCAAATTAAATCCAATGTTAAGGATATTTCCTAATAAACAATACATTTATAGTAGGCTAATACATTTACAATTTTTCAACATCTAAATCCAGCAATTTGCAAAATTCTCACTATTTGAATAAATATGAAAATAGGATAGGATTCGATTCAACTATTCTAGAATAGTAAATTATTCTACATTGCCCATCTCTATTGATATGGCAAGTCAGAATCAGTTATTCAATGTTATAAGTCATTACGAAACGTGCCATTGCGAAAACGAAATTCGACCAGAGACCGTGTCCGTACTCAAATCTGAGTAGTGCCAAACGTGTAAGGAGCATGTTCGAAAGCATATTCGTCTATGTATTACATCAGGATTAAATTTCGTACTCGCTTGTAAGATGTTATTTTGACGACGTACCGAAGGAAACGAAGTTGCATAGAATTTTAACGCTTTGGCCATGACACAGAAACAACATCATCCCTCACATTGATAAGTATAAGAAAACTAGGCACTCCCAAAGTATGTGCACCAAGATGGCGCACAACCTGAACCCTAACCTGGTACACATACTTCTGGAGGTGCGAAAACAATGCATCGTTTGATATCTTTTAAAAAAGTCAACATGCACGTTTCATTGTAGCAGGCTTTTAACACAGCAATAGAAAGTGCAAGTGTGCCATAATTTGAAGTTTAATATGGCGATTGTTTGTTCGTACACGAAAATATTGCCATAAAAAATGCGCTACCGGAAATGCATATTTGGCCTGCGAGTACAAAAAAATTGCCGACCACTGCCCCAAGGCCTCAGTCCTAATGCACCTTACATGCATACCCCAAAAGCAACAAAGTGTCAAAGAAGACGTAGCTGAAATTTTTTCTATTTGATGAACTTTTTTACCTAGGAAAACATACAAATGGTGCCAAAATATTCATTTCCAAGGAACCGAAATACTGACAACTTTGTTACAGATTATCACATAAAGAATCCAATTTTTCTCGGATTTCATCAATGGAATGCTGATTTTTCTGATCCTCCGGAACATACTTCTCTTTGGTAAGCCGTTTGGATACAAGTTGCTCAGCTAGTTGGATGCTACGGTTGTATTTTTCCATAAGTTTCTGATCCATCCTCATCACGTCAGAAACCTGAGAAACAGAATAACAAGGTTTTTTAATGCATCTCCAGTTATCAGCTTCTACAAACAAACCACTACAGTCTAACGCTGACATGGGCAAACTGCGGCCTGCGGGTCAAATTTGGCCTGTTGAGCAATTCAATTTGGCCCGCCTGATGTTACCACTAAAACCAAATTTTGACGTTTCAACTAAAAATTAGCTCAAGGAATTTGGTGAGATTGCGATTAAATTTAGTTTTGGCACCAGGTTTATTGTTTTCCACTTTTGCTTTTCTAACACTGTAAATATTGTTCATAAATTGTAACCTTACGTTACACTTACATGGCTCGCCTGTCCAGGTTGTCAAAATTTTCAGCCCTTAGTCCAAAAACCTTGCCCACCCCTAGTCTAACGTCATTACTTTCGGAGTGCAGAATTGATGAATATCAACACGAAAACAGTCCGAATAGCACATGTCAAGAGTTAACAATCTTTTGAACATACCATAGATAGTGAAATAATTTTGACTAAACATTGACTGGCACTGGCAGTAACTGAACATTGTTCTTGTTATCTGCTAGGTAAAATGTGACATAGCTAATCTGAATGACTAACCACTGCATCTCTTTTTGCATATTTCACATCTAACTGTCTCAATCCTGGACTGGGAAATATATGACGATCTTTGCCATCTCTCCTTCTTCCAACCTTCTTTCTGTCTAAAACTTCCTGACGAAAAATTTCATTTAAAAAGTCATCGATCACAGAGAATGTAGTTTATTTATGCATTTGGAAGTAAGTTTTAATGCAACCTCCTATTTACTGTACTGCAAGGCAACCCCTTACATTTTACAACTCTCTATGGAGATTGACAATTGCAAATTGGAAGGGGATTTTTTATCCTAAATAACTTGAATCTGTACTGTAAATTGATACATCAAAACGATTTAACTTTCATGTAGCAATATTCATTAACTAATTTTGGCATCTATGTCGATTATAAATAGATATCGATATATTCATCTGGCCAATACAAAAGAAATGGTTTCAACTAATAACCTGAGTTCCCAATTTAAATAATGTAGCTGTAAATAAAGGTTACAATATACAGAAGGTGTGCGAACATAAAAGTCCATCAATTCTTTCAAATGCATCATTGACCTATAGATTTAGCCACAATCCTAACTCAATTATTTATTCTGTTTGTATAGTTTTCCTAAACACATGCATTGATTAGATTCATTGCAGTACATTGCAAAAAAGGTCAGTATTTTCAATCATCTCTCAAAATAATGAATACTAAGCAATAGACAAACCTTCTCGTGCACATCAGGTCCATCTTCTCGAAGTTTAGACATCAGTCCATTAATTGTAGTTGTTGTTTCTTTGTGAGATTTATCAATCGACTTACGGGAGTTGGCAAATGCAGACGAATCTTTGTTGGCCTACATTTGGATAATAAACAGTTGGTATTGGACATTAACAAAGTTATTCAATACACTATTACAATTTTTTATATTATAATGTACTTATTTTAGAAATTGGGTACTATGTGAAATACCATTTAGACAGGACTCAGGGGCGGGAGTAATTTCATTTTACATTCGCAGAAAAATTCAAAATCTTGATTGATACCACTCAAACTGCCACAAAGCACACATCAGTATACCGAATAATCAGTTATAACCAATTATCAGTTATCGCTTCTCTTGCGCAATGGAAAATAGCACCTGCACACATATATCATTGTGTATAACTAGCTCATTGAAAATCAGCAAATGCACATCTTCGCCTGCATATCGTGATAGCATTCTGGGTATACTTAATACTGATTTCACTGGTTGAAGTCAAAGGTCTGAAATATGCAACAGTTGGCTTTATGCAGTAGGGTTGCTGAGTTCCTCATTGTCAGCAAATGAGTCATGTGATAGCTTGCGAATCCCAATTTCCCACCCAGCTTGCCTTGACAATAACCCTTAAACAGTTTAGGCCCAATTTTATTGAATGACTTAAATTACAAATTTACCTTGAAATCTTTGATGGCAGTTTCATAGGAGTTGTAACAGATTATTCTTTTGGAGTGTTGTGCCTGGACCTGAAATTTCAATACATAAAAATACAGACTATTTACTGGAGTCTGGAATAAAACAAAAATACCAAGTTGCTCATTTTACCCAACGTTACAGCTAATGAGTATTGAATATGAAAAACACATTACCTGTTCAATAACACCCTGCACTCTCATTTTTGCTTCTGATACACTGTCATGTGTGATGGAAAAATCAAGTCTTACAATGATGATTACAGTGAAGAACAGAATGAAAAATGCACTGACAATCAATAGAGGTTCTTGAATCAACATCATAGGATTGAAATTGTAGGACAGCTGAAAAATTTCATTATTTAAATTGAAAACCTCAGCAATGAGCGTTGAAATCATAGCAAAGAAACTTGTCTAACATAAAATAACGAAAGCAATAGCAAATTAGGCATTCATTTATTTTCTAAAATTCAACATTCGATTTAGTATATACACATAAATAACTCACAGTAAAGTCCTGAATATGTTGTTCCAGTACATTTTTCTTTTTGAAAGTGATCACTGGCCTTCCAACAGTATCCAAATAAGTGTAATGCAAAGTGTCTTCCAAACGCTCCGCTTCATAGGGTAGCGATACACTTATCTGCCTATAATAAAAATATACACCCCATCAAATATTGTTCCTTTTTGACTTGCACATTGTATGAAACGCTTACAAACACAGAAATACTCGAAGCAAAAAATACTAACTTTGAACTTTCCGGAAGAATTAATTTAACAGCCAAGTCATCAATCACCATATCATCATAAACATGGTCAACAAATCTCATTCTTAGGGCTAGTAGGTCACCTGCAAAACAAAAACAAGACTTAAAAGTGAGAAACAATTACTCAACCGAGATAAGATATTTGTATACTGCCTCCTAATCATTTAAGCTCAATGAAGGGCGAAAACTAATTTCTGCCCTATTGAGCAGTCCGAGACTAAACTGAACACTGATTCTAATGGGTAGATATAAATTTATCCAGTTATTAGCAAAATTACTTAGTATGCTAATAGAATTTTAAAAATGATGATTAAAATTAAATAATACAAACTATTCTAATATGGACATCTGCATTAAACACCAAAATTTTCCAGTCGCTTTAACTATTTAAAACAATACCTGTTTTGTAAAGATAAGTATAACTTGGGAGATTATATCCGATGTAATAATGAGTCTTCCATCCACCAAAAAGTGGGAAACGAGGTCTGATTTCCACTTCAACAGAATCATCATTAGTTATAAGGTTGGATGTTGATATGTTTCCTATCTCATCTCTGAAATGTAGCTCAGAATTAGTGCTTTTTAATTCACAGTATTCATTTCCTCAGAATACAGAAGTTAAAAGTAAGATTTTAAATACAATTCTCTTTAAAATGCTAGAATCTTGAGGTGACAAGATGATAGATAGCAGTTTTTATTAAATTTTGAGTTTTGGAATTCATTTTCAAACTATTGGAAAAAAACAACCCCAAAGTGAATTACATCAAACCTCCACTGTGGACATGTGCACATATATGTATGTGCTTAATTTTGAAAATGTAAAACCGGAAAAAACTGTGCGTTTTTGAAGGCGCACACAGAATTGCAGATTCCTATTTCAACAATTCTCTCCCATTTCCACCTGCCATGGTATATCAAAATTTGCATCCAGTTTTCAAACGCAAATGGAACAGTTCTTAATATCGCTAATATTTTATAATCACTTCGAAAACCCTTACGCAAATCTTTCTTAAGCAATGACATGCGAATTCAAGTATTTGTTCAAACAAACGACGCAAAATGTTACCAGTATTGATTTGTATTATTTAATTAGGATAAATTCTCATGCATGAGGCCTGCGATAATAATTGCGCTGCCTCCAACATACCTGTAATACACATCTGACGATGATGCTGGTAAGATTGTTTTGAATGACTTGACTGCAGATATTCCACTATTTGGCAATCTTTGATAATCATATCGACTGAATGAGCCCTTGAACTTGGCACCAGTATGTCGAATATCCAAGGTTTCTTCCACAGATATAACACCCCAATGTGATAGTTCAATAACTCTGGTCATTTTGGTAACAACGAGAAAGGGGCTGTTGTTCTCAAAATGCAATGTCATTGAACTCTGAAAATAAATAACATCAGGAAATTTTATTTTCTCGCTTTTCATATTATATATTCAATGGAAGTTGAATAAGAGATAATGTGCGTTCGCCACAGATCCATAATTGAATAATATTTGTCGCTATTTTAATTAATCGTTTAGGTTATTACATCGGCCTAATTTTTGTTTGAGGATGGAGCATAAAATATTAGATAAACAGGGTGTCCATGAAGTCCCATTACAATTTCAATATTGTCAGATCTCAATATATTTTAACCATTTATTTTTTTACAATCAGTAAGTGTTCAAGCATTTTTACTTCATTTATTACATCTGTGAGGGCCAAAACAATATATGGTATATAAATTCCTTCGCAATCCCTCAAAAATATTTTAGGACTTTATGGGCACCCTATATGTCTGGTTTCCAGCAAGAAAATCAGTAACCTACTTGAGACAAAGACTTGACATTGTCATACTCTTCAGATCCTCCATACTTTATTGTGCTGTCCTGGATCTCAGTTTTTCCTAATTTGGAATGATTTTCAACAACATTAGAAAACAATTCTACCGTTGTAGTCTGGGACTCAGTCATGTATGGAGAGTAAAACAAATGATTCCCGTTATATGTCACCAATTGTTTCTGAGATTGAGATATTTCTCTGAAGTATAATAACGATAGAAATGCTATTTATGAATATTCATAGATTCAGACATGGCAATGCAGGCATGGCTATATTTTGAATTTTGAAAGGTTATATTTAGATTGGTTTGGTATGAGCTATCAGTGCATGCAATTATTAATTGAGGTACTGTATATTCACGCATATAATATGACCCCCTAAAACCGATAATAAAATGGTGAATTTATGAAAATTCGCATATAAGCCGACCCTACAAATTGTTATACGCCGTACACGCAACAAATGGTTGCAGAAGAGAATTGGTGCGATCAGAGTTATGCGAGAAAAGATAAATTTTAGTGTGATCAGAGTTATGCACAGATGAGCGGAACCCCCAATTTGGCAATTTTTTTTTTGGGGGGGGGAGGGTTCAAACTCTGCTTATATGTAAGAATGTCGGTATGTAGAGGGAGAGATAGGGAGTGAAAACCACTCGAGATGCTAATCTCTGCATAATGGTTGGTAATCAATATAGCCATCCTAACCACAGCATAATGATGTATCCCAACAATATGCTATTGTGTAAGCAGTTTCCTTTTCATAGGATTTTTTTTCATAAATACCTCTGGTCCACTGTATGGACAGTACAGCTATCTTTTTTAGGACTTATGATATGATAACTTACTCAGGAAACGCTTTCAAAGAGTGGGTAAAGTATTCCTCAATGGACAGGCTGACAGAATCTCCAGCAACACAGGCTTTGGGTAGAGTGACTGAGTATATTCCCTTTCCTTTCTTGCCGAGACTGAGTGGATTGTTTTCTCCATCAACCTGGAATATAGAAGATTGGTATATATCGGAATAAGAAATTAGCAAGAGATTGAGTTATATTCAAACACGCTCAAGGACATGAAATTTCCTTTGTCATTCATAGCATTAGGCTTTATGTAGACATGAATAGGACCTTATCCATCCTATCCTATGTAACCTTTAGTGCGTGAATGTTGCAATAAAGCTGATAGGGATTCGCCCAATTTGGAGTGGAAGTGGTGACTCCTTTACGGCCAATGTGCCGGGGCCACGGCCCATCGAGTTGTGTAAAGAGACTATTCACTTGGCTAACACAGACAGTCCCCGAACTCATAATAGAACTATATTGTGAAAAATCTGAACAAAATTTTGTCCTAACCCTAACCTGGTACACATACTACAGGAGTATCCTTTTCTATAGCTTGGTATTTTGCTTTATTTTTAAATAAAGGCTTATCGTAAGAAAAAAATTTGGTGGCATCCCGCATTTTTTTGGGTTTGAATATTGACAATTTTGTAAAAATTGGAAATTTTGGTAAGATAATTAAATTTTTTCTGATGGGGCCGCGGCCCATAGCTTGATGTGGCCCAATCAGATGAGCCGTGGCCCCGACCCAAGGGCCGTAGAGAAGTCACCACCCCTGTAGCCAATTTGGGTGAGAGTCACTTTGCTTATTAATAAACAAATACACAAACAGTGATAACAATATTAATAAACAAATACAAAAACAGTGATAACAATAATTAAAGACTCTGAACTGAAAAATGCATGTTGTTACGACATATATTACAAATACCTTTGAAGAGAAGTATTTAAAATTGGCTTCATTCTTAACTACGGTATTACCTACCAAATTTACTTCCAAAAAGGCAAGCTTATCGAACAGATCTGGCTCTACGTGAACAGCGATTTCACTTTCAGATGAAGATCCATCATTTCGCATAGTAACGCTTGTAGTTATTTTCACAATGTGAGTCTTAAGGTCTATCGAACGACCAACTTTAGAATTGACCCAAGCCCCTTCACTGGCGTCCATCAACATTATAAAAATCAGATTAATAAGCAGCAAATATTTTGCCATGCCTGCAGATTTGTTCATCCAAAGGGAATACTGTATAAAATAATCTATATCTGTATATAAATATTCAGGAAAAATTGGTCTATTATTAACACTTACTATTGAGATAGAATTTCAGTGACTGGAGGATAAACAAACTGTGCTTGTAAACAGTTTTATACTACTCACTACTGTATGACACAGATCCGATTCCAAGAACAGCTGTATAGCCCCCACATTGAAAGGGTCTGGTTTAGTACCCCATGTACTTCCAGTTGGCATGGCTCAACAATTTTTGCATATGTCATCTATAATCCTGTAATCCTAACTACGTCCAGACGCCAGGTATACAGATTTTTCGCCTCACACCACTAACTTTTCAGATCACAAGACAGCAAGATAGATTGGATTATGATTTTGTTTTACAGTCGCCTTGGGGAGTTTGAATATAATAAATATACAAACAAAAATAGATACACATGCTGATGTCAGGATGTGGATTTGCTACTTTTAAGAAACTACCAACAGCTCAAGGCGATTGAAAATCAAACTATCATGTGGTCGCAAAGGGGCTGTAAAGCACAACATCCGTTGGGCCAAAAGTCTGTAAACCAAATTAAATACAATTTTCAAATTTTGTGGTTGATAATCCATGAAATTGTACCATACCTTCTGCTTAAAGAGGGAAATCAGGAAAAACAGAGGATAAAAATTTGGGTCTGGTGCAGTTTCGTACCTCAAGTCGGCGTGGAATAACAATTTTTGCATATGTCAATCCTAACCCCCACCTGACTACGTCATCCAAAAGTTATGTTACTACAAAGTCACAGTGATGTAATACAATAATAGGGCCCTCCAAACTATACGAACTGTCATCAAAGACGCGCAGATGATCACCCGAAATTGAACAAGTTATTTCTTTCGTTTTCTCGTCGCAGCGATCCCAATATGAGAAAGATCGCTGCCGTTAGTGACTTCTTTATCGTCGGTGCAGATGCCATTTCAGGCAATCGCAGGTCAGCAGGTATACTTTGGCAAGCTATATGACGTGATTGTGACGTAATTATTGGATGGCGTAGTCAGGTCGGGGTTAGGATTGACATGTTCAAAAATCGTTTTGCTACGCCCACCAAAAGTACTTTAGGTACGAAATTACACGTACCGGTACGGTACACGTAAAAATTCATGAAATTTGAGAAGCAATGATTATAAATTAGTCTAATGCATATTCCAGTAGTTTATTAGCTCTGGAAATAGGCTATAAGCTGTTTGATTTAGAAATTTTACAATCCGAATACTACGCAATCATTTTCAAAATCTAATAATGCAGAAATAACGCTAGGCCATTAGTAAAAATCTTAAAAGTTTTGTCTTTTTCAGTTTTTAAAAACTTTTGCACCTTTCGGCTCTCTTTTAGCACCAACGGTGTCGGTACCCTAAACATCTGTGAATTATTTGTTGTACGTAGCCTATTTCGATTAATTGTAAATTGACGTAGACTTATCATTCCTGTCGAAGAAAAATGAAAAAACATCCACACCAACCAGCATAGACCATTCTTTTTTTGCCAAACGAAATTTTCTTATAGAGATTTCAGTGTCGAATCAGTATAAATAGCCCCAATTTTATTTATTTATTATAATTTAACAGTTTCATAATTTTAAACACATTCCCCACAGGTTCAAATAGTAAAAGTAAAAATTAAAATATAAAACCACCCGATTTATCAGACTGAATATCAACGAATGCAAGATTGAAGTCGGCATTGACGTGGCGCGGAAGAATGCCGGCAAATTTTCGCTGTAGCAAAAACTCCAATTCCGTACACGTAGTAAGTGCGCGTTCCCAGCATAATTTAGGCGCGGGCGAAGAATCGAAATGACGATACGGAGCCACTTGCTACTGAGGTCAAAGGTCAAAGATAATTCCCATCTACATTAGTTTTAAAGACATGTAAAACCACTAATATCGATACAGGACAAGCGTTAAGTCGCCGCAAACAATACAGCCGCAGTGGATCCGGCACCTCGCCCCGCGCTAATTCTGGGTATAAATTACTAAACTTGAAAATAAATATTATAGGGCTAGACTAGAGTGTTCATTATATGCATGCCAAGCTCGTAAAATGAAGTTACTTCAATTGCAATTTTGTATTCTGATAAAATGTAATTTAATGTAAATATAGTCATAGTCAAGTTTATTTTATCCAACCAATGACATTAAACAAAGTCACTGAAGTAATGAACAGAGTACAATGCAAAAAATATGCGAAAAAGTGAGGAACATAATTTCACTGGGGAGGGGAAGCCACGGGGATCCAAAGTTGGTTATCTAGCAGCGGCACCCAAGGTTCGACTATTTAATTAGGTTTTAGAAGATCAATATATTATTATTAATTAGTAATGTTTTGGCGAGAAATCGTCATGACATTAGATTGTATCAAAGAGCCACGCACTACACCAGATTTGAGGTATTCCCCGATAAAACCATTTTTTATTACAAATGCAATTTTGCACCTTATTCTTTGGTTTGATCTCCTTGTCATTCTGTGTGTTGATGAGAAATGCAAAAATACCTACATTTTACTACTTATTTATATATACTTTATGTTTTCTGAAGAAATGAACGCTCTATGATGAGTACCTGGAAAGCAAATTAAAAGCGTATACCGGTACTTACTTTTGAGACACAATGTATGTAATAGAATAAATATATGAATTCAGTGGTACGTTCGAATTGATTAATATATATACGAGTACATAAATAGTTGATTGCTGCAAACGCACATGACATCACTTAAAATGGATGTATGTGCATAAGTCGGCTGCAAATTCATTGCTATGTATATTGAAAAAGTTAACATTTTTGAATAACAACTAACTTCTGATGTTTGGATCCAATCAATCAATCACTGAACCAAAAATATCCCGGTTTGATATCTACCATTGGCCGATTGCATGGGACCATGTTCCGAGCGAATGGCGTGAAAAAGCGTTGTGTATAAAAATGACAAATCGACATGAAAAGAATCTCAATATATCTACCTAAGTTTAGGAAGAAGAATAAAAGCCAGAAAAGTCTTTCGACTACACATTAAAAGAATTACTGGAATTTCACAAGCCTAATTAATACATCACGTACTCCTCGAGAACCATACATCGAAACATAAAATTTTTGACCTCTTTAATATCGTTATATAATAAAACCTTAGGTGTCCCTCAACGACTAACATACGGGTGTCCCTGCATAATTATTTAGCAATAGTTCTCCGTAGTATCTCCTCCAATCAACCTGTATGTTAACTTGTTCTTGTTATCTTTTGTATGCAAATATTTTCTATTGGCTGGAAAAATGGAATTAATCATGATTATATATATGTATACAGAAAATTTGAGCAATGCGAATAAAATATATTTCATTCAAACAAGTTCATTCAAATGTTACTGAATCAGGATATTTTATGTGGAACTGCCACAGATTTGTATCGCCACAACATGAATTGATTTTTTGCGTGTATCCTGTGCGTCCTCTGACTCAGAGAATCTACACCCAAATTATAAACAGTTCATTTTGACGTAAAGTAAACATAGGAGGATAGAACAAAACAATGAGTAAGATTTCATTCACGAACTATGAAATGAAAGAGGGGCCTTGGGAGGCATAAAAGCAGCACAATAGAATATAGATTATAGCAGCATTCACATTGCAGCTATGTGAACAACAGTTCATTCTATTTTTGGTTGTTTCATTGAAATAAACTTCTATTTTTAAATAATATAGTGGAGATGTTTTAAATAAGGCGTTTTAAAGAACCTTTGTTTGATACATATAATACAGATGAACTTTTATAAAAAGCAAACCTATATACGAACAATGCGTTTTCCTATTTGTTACAGGTAAATTAGGAAAATCACGAAGCGATTACGGTCATAATGAGCATGATTTCAATTGTTGAATTACTCTTGCTATTGTCATCAATTGCACTGATAACAAATGAAAGTCAGTTACAAGAAAGCTGTATTTCAGAGGGCATGGAAATCGATGCTGTAAAGGTACGGTGGAGATGGAGATACCAACTCAAATTGAGAATAAATTATAGAAGAGTGTTGAACCCACTTGTTTTTGCTGATTGTAATGAAAAACATGACTCTTTAGGTTAATATTCAAGTAATAACTTCCAATCCGTTATTAGTCAAAACCATTTTCGTGTAACTAGTATTAAATTCTAATCAACCAATGCTAACATATACCGTGTTTTTCAAATATAAGACAGGGTCTTATTTTAATTTTCTTTCGAAAAATAACACTAGGGCTTATATGGGAGGATGTCACTAACAAAAACAAAATTACGAAGTAGAAAATTACGAGATTTTTAAATATACAAAATATGAACCCGATATCCATTTACTTGAAAATAACACGTTTTTATTTAAAAAAAAACTGCCATTATTCAAAATTGATCATATCATCATCCTCTGGAATGTCATGCCAGTCACTAGATTCATAAATTCCATTGAAGATTTCACTCATTGAACCTTTTCCTTTCTCACGCGTTTTAGTTTAACCATTTGAAACGTGTAAGAGAGATTTCTTGCCATCGATTAGGTCAAAACAAATTTCACGCTATCGGCTAGATCTTATTTTAAGGGTATTAGGGCTTGGATTAAAATCATTTTATATTTAGGCTAAGTCCTCTTTTCAGGCTATAGGATTTTTTTTCGGGGAAACACCGTAATTTAAGTTTTTCCCATTTTATAGTTATCAAAAACTACGTGGTATTCTGGACCGATGACATAACGTCTAAGGTCTCTTGTGTCAGATTCACTAATATCACGTCTACAGAAACTGGATTCCAAGCTGTTTCAAAGGAACATGGGTCCAGGTAAATACATGAACACAAAAAGCAAAATCTACAGAGTATAAATGTGTTAAAATATTGTTGAAAACAGCTAAAATTAAAAATAAATTATTTACCTATAGTGATTCTTATACATTTTCATATGCTGTTTAAATTACCAAACCTACCTGAGAACTCGTCCAAGAGTTACGAGTTTATTGCCTCGGATCTGGTAGCATACTAATTAATAATG